CTGTGCTCACTGTCACAGGGACATCGCCCTGAGCTGCCCAGTGAGAGGGTGAGCGTGTCCCTGCTGATCTGAGCTCTGCAGGCCACAGGGACCCACGTCTTCCTGAAGCGTCTCCAGGCCCAGGTGACACTGACCATGGTGAGGACCACAGGGAGGTGCTGATGGACGGGCTGAGGAGGAAGGAGGCCCCGTGGGGGAGGCTCTGACAGGGAAGGACGTGCCCTGGGTCACCTCACCTGCAAGGGGCGTCTCAGGAGGCTCCAGGGCGATTTCCTGCTTCACCATGAAAATGAGAGCCAGGCTGCCAGAGAGAGGCTGTGCCCTCACCTGCGGGCTGCTGGCGTGACAACCCTGTGACAGGCAAGGCCGGCCTCCAAGTGACCACCACCTGTGCGTGTCTGTGTCCATCCTGTGTCCACCGTGCCCTCCTCCATCTGCTCAGCTGAGGCCACAGGGAAAGACGCCATGACCCCCACCCTCAGGGCCCTGCTCTGCCTCGGTGAGAAGGGAGGAGGGAGGAGGGGAGCCCTGGTCTGTCAGGACCCCAGGACTCAGGAGGCTCATGGGGAGGAGGGTGCTGCTCAGGGTTCAGGGCAAATCTCTCACAGGGACTCTCTTCCAGGGCTGAGTGTGGGCCTCAGGACCCCAGTGCAGGCAGGTGAGTCTCCCCAGATGTCCAGGTCCCACTCCTCAATGGGGACAAGGGCCACCCTCCAGGCAGCAGGGGAAGGATCTGTCTGACAGATGGGGGGCATCTGGGACCAAGAGCTGGGACCAGGGGGGGAATGTCCTGTGACCCAGCCTCTGATTCCTTCCAGGGCCCCTCCCCAAGCCCACCCTCTGGGCGGAGCCAGGCCCTGTGAATCCCCGGGAGAGCCCCGTGACCATCTGGTGTGAGGGGACCCCAGGGGCTGAGGAGTACCAGCTGGATAAAGAGGGAAGCCCATCACCACGGAAAAGAGAGAAGCCACAGGAGCCTGGGGACAAGGCCAAGTTCTCCATCACACACATGACAGAGCATGATGCAGGGAGATATCGCTGTCTCTACTACAGCCCTGCTGGCTGGTCAGAGCACAGTGACCCCCTGGAGCTGGTGGTGACAGGTGAGAGGACACTCAGGGGTCCCAGCCTCAGGCTCTGCCCTCAGGGTGGGTGTCTGCTCTCAGGGTGTCCCCCTCTCACAGCCCAGCCCTGGGGGACATAAGGGAGGTGTGAG